TTTTTGCTTCGACAGGCACCTGGTGGGGTTGCCGTTCTTGACGATACTCGAACATGTACACATGGAGCGCGCCAAGCTGTAAATATCGCAAACATCGACTGGTCCACCCCATCCTGCCACAATCAGGACACACAGCCCGTTCTGGAAAGGCGACAACACAGCAATTTTACAAAAATCGAAAAGCAAACACAACAACGCGCCCCCGGTGTGGTCGGGGACACCGTCCTAGTGGACGGCGTGCTGCTTTATGAAATATACACCAACGCCAATGTCGCTCACCGTGAACCCAACCAGCTGTTTGTTTCTGATGCGTCCAGCCATTCGATGTTGTCCAGCAGGGGCCGCAGAANGCAAACATCGACTGGTCCACCCCATCCTGCCAGAATCAGGACACACAGCCCGTTCTGGAAAGACGACAACACAGCAATTTTACAAAAATCGAAAAGCAAACACAACAACGCGCCCCCGGTGTGGTCGGGGACACGGTCCTAGTGGACGGCGTGCTTCTTTATGAAAAATACACCAACGCCAATGTCGCTCACCGTGAACCCAACCAGCTGTTTGTTTCTGATGCGTCCAGCCATTCGATGTTGTCCAGCAGGGGCCGCAGAAAAGTTTTCACCCAGGTAGATGCCGGAGTACCGGCACAAACAGCCTCGCGGATTCGGTAGAGGACTCGCAGTTCTACAACAAGGCTGCCGTTGTAGTTGAACACGCCGTCCTCCTGGAAATCGTCTCCCGCCCACCCTTTCAGCTTGCATCTCCCACACTCCATTCGCTCGACCTTCACCATCCGCAGATCAGCTCCCCCTTCCCCCTGTTTAATCAACCGCCCCGACAAACGAGGAAGGCAGTGCACTTGATTTTCGTTTGCTACCGGCGCACATGCTTGCAGCCCGTACTTGGAAAAGGGTGACCATGCCGCCAACACCACGAAGGAGTCTCTCTCGAATCAAAAGAATATACGACTCTTAACTGTACTTGAAACTGCTCTGCGTTGCGGCAGTAGTCACCCTGCATGTATTGACGGCAAGGAACTCGAGCTCCACGAAGACTCGCAAGTACCACTTACCAGAGCGA